CCCTCCAACTTGTGGGGGGGGGGGGGGTGTTGGAATTACATAATGAATACTTATTAGTTATTTTAATTAGCTAGTTTTACTTCAGTTTTTTTTGTTCAGTTTTCGCCTAAAGTTTGGCCCACATGTATTTGTAAACTTCCAGGTTATAACCCATGTAAAAGAGTAGTGAGTTTACAGTTTTGCCCCAAGTATAAATATAGGTTCTAGAAGACTCTGTACAGATGAAGAAATGAGAATGGAAAATATCAATGCTTTCTTCTGAGTTTTTCTCTTTCTCTCTTTTCTGAAACCATATTCAATTTCATACGATTGTTAATCTTCACAAGTTGAACTTTTGCTAGTAACTTGGTTACGTAGACGACAACAACAATAACCCAGTGTAATCCCACAAATGGAATTTGGGGAAGGAAGATGTACGCAACCTTACCCCTGCCCTAGAAGGGCAGAGAGACTGTAACTTGGTTACGTAAAATAAAAGATGAAATGTAGAAGACTAAAGCTAGTGCACTTTACCTAACTAAAGATCATGTAAGAATATTTCGTCTATTAAGGAGGATTACCCGAATACTTGAGGTAAAGATACTTATAAAAATGCAAAAGTATTTGATAGGATTCACTTCGAAAACGTAGAGAAAAGAAACTGGACTAAAAAAATTCTCATTTTCGAACTTGACTTCTACATTCAAATTGAAACTAGCTTTGAATCATGCTTAAGCACTATTAGAAATTCGGCCAAAAATCGACAGCCAACCGATCGACTTCGGTCGGTCAAAAAAACAACCGTTCAATTTTTCAAAATATTTTATTTTTTAATTTTCTTTTACGAAACCGACCGACTTCGGTTGGTTTATTTTTGGCGCAAAAATACAGAAAACTATTTTAGCATCCCGTGAAATTTATTTTTTAAGAACCCATCGAAATCGGTCGGTTTTTCATATAAAATAAATTTAATTAATATTCAAAATACCGACCGATTTCAATCTTTCATTTTAAAAAATCGACCGACTTCGGTCGATAATTTTATATTTTTAATAGACCGACCAAAATCGGTCGGTTATTTTCGTGCGAAAATGCAATTAAAGAGTACAAATAAATTAAAAAAAAGTCTTAACCAAAATTTACCAATAGTCTAGTGGTAGAATAGTATACTGCCACAACACAGACCCTGGTTCGAG